CTCCTGGGCTTTAACAAGTCCTGGGTGGCCTTTAAGGCCAAGGTGCATGTTGGTTATAGAACCCCGAGTCCATGGCCATGATTTAACAGCAGTACCTGGACCCTAATTTGCTTTGTGTAGGAGCGAGGTGGTAACTGGGGTTGGGGAAGGGCCAAGAAGGCCAGCTGGGCTGCTGGAGCCTGTCAGCCCCTTCCTAGGTGGACTGAATGTCTATTCACAAATTGGCCTTCTGGCTTTGCACACGTTCAGGTGCATAAGGCTGGCCCTGATTGTCCAGCTGGGGTTGCCAAGCCTTGGGTCATAACTGTATTCTGGACTGGGGCTCTGTGGGCTTGAAGGATATAGACTTATCCAAAGTCCACCTCCTTCCTTGAAAGTTTAACTCCCAGACCAGGTGACAAGTGAGGTACAAAAGATTTCAAGCCATCTCATCGTATTTTCCACTGCCATTTGTCCCAGGTTGGACTGGAGGAGGGCCAGGCACTTTCCATCTTGACCCTCTCAGCCACCTTTTATAAAGCAGGGATTATCCCCAATTTCAAGAAATGGATGGGGCTGGAGAGATGGCTCAGTACAATAAGCACTTGCCTGGCAAGCACAAGGGCATGAGTTCAATCCCTGGTTCTGAAAAAAAAAAAAAAAAAAAAAGGAAAGAAAGAAATGGAGACACTGGGCCTCAGGACAAGATCATCTGGCCAAGGATCAGGAGAGCCAGGGCTGGAGTCTCTGCTGATCTGACTCCAAAACCCTGTTTCAGATGACTAAGACCTTTTCTTGGGAGGCAGAACAGACCCACTGCAACCAGCTACTGCTCTGGTCAGGGTGATCTCACCACTCCAGCTCAGCAGGGCTGATTCATCCTCTAGGAGTCAGGAGAGGCCCTGGGGAGACGTTGGGGCCGGCCTGGGTCTGGAAGGGGCCAGACAGTAGGGGTGGGGAAGGGTTTCAGAGCCAGATGTTAATGGGGATGGATCCCTGCTATCCAAGACCCTCACAGGAGTTCAGCACACTACCACTGTAATCAGGGCTGAAGGGACCCCCGCCCTATAAGGGTATAAGAAGGGAACTCGAGTTTACACAGCCAGTAGGACCAGCTGGCTGCGAGGCTCAGTCCCATCACTGTCACCGCAGGGACACCTGGACTGATGATGGTGGAGTCCCAGGGAGGCTGTGGGGAGGGGATGGTGGCAGGAACCCGATGGCCAGCGGCAGGGCGTTTTATTTAGCGTGGAGGGCCAGGATGAAGGAAGGTGGTGGCTTTGTGGATGCCGGAGTCTGCAAGGTTTCAAGTGGGCGAGGGGTGGGCTTGGAGAAGTCAGTGAGGGGACTTTCAGGTCCTTAGACATGGAGAGGAGGCAAGCTCGAGAGCCAGAGGGAGTCGCCGCGCCTGGGGGAGGAGGGCTCGCGCGGAACCGCGGGGTGGCGAAGGGGAGGGACTCGCGCACCAGTTGTGGGTTGTCGCAGAGTTCTCTGAGGGGTTGGCCCTGGGGAAAGGGTGGCCCGGGACCGACCTAGCGAGGGGCCATGGGGCGCTGGCTTTTCTGGGCCCGAGATGGGGTGGGTCGGCATGCGGGGGCGGGGCCAACGCTGGGTGGGGCGCGGGCCGCCCC